AAATGAAGGTGCCAGTCGAAGGTAAGTTAACACAAGAAACTAGGAGGAAAGGCAGGACTAATTTTAGGGGCCGCAAAAATCCCGCCAACTTATAATAAAAACTACTTTTGAATATTCAGTAGCCCGACTTTGAATTTCTTCGTTAAGCTTCACCAATGAGAGGATAAATTTCCATTATTGTTAAATTCAGCCTACATAAGGTCGAGTTTCCCTTAATTGTCATTCGTATCCTGCGCAACAGACGTTTGCGTTTTACGAATTTTATTCTATTTTAGCGTACTAAAACAAACATAATCTTATTTAATTAAATATTTTTTGATAACCTCTGCAGCAATTATATATAAACTTAAGCTCACTAGCTAATAATTAAATGTTTGACCACAAAATACGTCAAGCAGTTGGGCGGGAGACAGATATCTAGAGGGGCCCCACAAGTCTGTTTTGCCCTAGGAAATACAATTTTGTGATCTCTGAAGCAACCTCTTCCATACGTAAGGAACTGTCTGGAAAGTGCACGGAACCTTCATTTGTTCGGTATTGGGATATATAGTTCAGTCATGGCGCCCATGGCTGAAAAGTAATTATAAGTTGCTGGAAAGTGTTCAGCGTGATGCGACAAAAAACGGGAAGTCTAAAAAAATATCACACACGTCAACAGGACGTGTTTTTCTTATCCGGTGAGTAAAGGTAGATCCCAGACCACTCGCGAGGAATCAAGACTGTGACCGGCACTTTGCTTATTTATTCTCACCTGTTACAGCCAACAATCTGCGTGGGAATGTTTGAAGACATTATAAGGCGTACAAGATAGACGGCATCATGCATAAACTGGCTGCACATTTATGTGAAAGATACTGCAAAGCAACATTAAAACAGACCAATGCTTTGCTCATACATACAGAAAACGCTGCTATTTATTATTGCACACTATCCTCAATCCTTCACGGTGTCAGTGGTTGAATCCCACTCTAAAAATCTTGTTTAATTGCATATATTAAGTTACATGTATTTTATGCTAAGTATTGTGTGCCATGGTTTTAATAAGGTCTTGAGAGGCAGTGTCTTTCGCTCTTAAATATACTGAACAAAGTGTAGAATATTATCTTGCGACATCCGCATATACACAGTTTTAACTACGAGGACTCATGTACGATCGCAGAGATCACTCTGTAACAGTAAACCATTAATTCAAATTTGCTTCGAGTAAATTAGGATTTCAATGGCGCAGGCATACACTCTAAAAAATACCCTGAACTGAAATGAGCTAGAGTAGTTTTGCCAGGGTTCAACGAAAGGTTATTCGAATAATTTTACATCAAGTTTCGTTGGCTTAGGTACTCCACCTGATGGAGATATACGTCTGCATGGTAAGGCACAGGAATATGTATCTAACACAAACATATGTATTGTGAGCTAAGTTTCTTACTTCTAGACGTTTACTGTTTCCTCAAAGTGACCTTACCGACCCAAACGAATGACAACTCATTAAATTCTAGAGAGTCGTAGGTGAAGCTTTGGAAGCACAATCTATCCCCCTCGAAATGGACCTTTCAGACGACATTTTGATTTGGCGTCGGTGGAACATTGTTAAAAGCTCCATTTAATAGCCAGCATCAGAAGAGCACTTGAGAGATGACGGGTTGCATTATTCCGGGTTGATTCTTCATTAAAACTGGAACTGTTTCCAAGTAACTTACCTTTTTATGATAAGATCAGCGTTTATTTTTTGTGACTACAATGTTCAGGTACTCCTGCCCTTACATCTTGGTAAACAGAAATGTTGTACAAACAACGTTTGGATAATTAAATGCGTCCCCTGTTGTCCCTCGAAGTTTTAACTCTAACTAACAGACTTATTTGTTAAAACAATGCTACTCAATGTTTGCCAATACTAGTTTAGTAGTGGAAATTGCTTACGTGTGCGTGTATGTACATATAGGACGCATCGGCATGTAATCAATAGGGTATTTAAGGCATTGCCTATCATCCTCACTAGATAAACTGAAAAAAGTAACGTTCCTTACAAAATGGAAATTCAGAGGGAAAACCTTTTATGCTTTTTTGACTGTCATTTGCAATACGCCGTTTTACCTAAGACAAAACCCCAAATAAAATAGTAAAAGTCGGCGGTCGAGTTGATAAAAGGCCTCCTTGGCTAGAAGGTTTAATATATCGATTTCAAATGCTGAACTGCAATAATCGGCTTCCTTTCTGTTCTACCGCTTTAATGAGAGGAAAAGTAGAATGATCAGTAGCTCTTCAAGTCCTCCAACTAATCAGTCTACGCCTATCTGCTACTGTGTATTCGCGATCAAAAACCAACAAGACGGCAAGCATATGGCGCAGTGATTAGAGCGTTACACTTTTAACAAAAAAAGTCGGGGGTTCAAAACTCGAGTATGGCAGCAAATTCTGGGGCAAGACTTGATTTGGGTATGACTAACTGTCGACGGCCAATAAGCCAGAAGTAGGTATGCTGGTCTCCCTTGTCTTTGTTGGTGATGTCCTTCTGCCTATATCATTAGCCGTCTTGCGGCGTAGGTTCGAGTGTGTGTTCCAAAAGCATCGTTCAAAATGCATCGTGTCCTGTAATTGCTCGGTGTACGCCTATCTGCTACTATATATACACATATATTTGACCAAAGAGCCTCTCCAGAAGAACGAATACTCTCACTTATTAGAGCATCGCCATAAGCGGGATTGGATATCTCTTTTGATGTGAGAATCGATGTATCCGAAGGTCCTTAACAAGCAGGGAATACTGCATCAGTATAACTTCCTGCTTCCTAGTATTAAAAACAACAGAACCAAACATGAAAGTCCTCAGTTAGGTGAGAGAATAACTGAAGAATGGAGGCAAGATTGACTGTCGTCCATGCAGAGGACAATCTTTACCCAGTTAGCAGCTATTAATTGACTCAGGGGTTCGATAGGTTGAGGAAGAGTTCCTAGAAAAATTAGTAAAACGTACAAAAAAAACTTTAATATTGGAGCACCTACTTGCGGTCGAGGATAGGCGATCTACTGTACCCAAAAACACTAAGATTGTTCTGTCTAATGGAAATGGCAATCAGTTATTGAGCGCAATTTATTGGGTACACAAGGCAAATCGTCGAGGACACGTGCTGTGTGTGGACAACGCGACTGTACGGACGCCTGTGCGCAGCGGTGTGTTGCGTACGGGTTTGTCTTTTTCGTGTAAGCAGGATGGAGTGAGTGCTTTTATTAACAATATATATGCGTCAATTTCCAAATAAAAAGGTAAGCAGACCCCTTCCTCATTACTTCCTAGCAGGATGTTCTCTTAAGAGTGAAGTATAATGAAAGGACCATTCAAGAGGAGTTTTGCCAGTGCACGATTTGCGAAGAAGGGCTCCTTTTATGCATAGGTAGGCAACTGTTTGGAAAGGCTTGCATACCATCATAAGTTCATCCCTAGGATATGGTAAACACGAAGTTTAAGCTAGTACAATGATTCAAAGGTGACGGGCAAGCATTTTAAGACTGATACAGTTATTCAGTATAGTTTAGTGTATATAAGGGAGATAGGCAGAGCCTTTGTAAACCCTATTTACAGAGAGGTTCTTTCAAATGCGTTTGTCCCAAAGCCATGTGTTATTATGAAAATTGCTCTTCTTTACCCAATGTATGACCATCAATTAAAGTATGGTTCAATCATCTACTTAAAGCTTCAAAGCTTTCAGCACGAACAAAGAAGGAGGGAAGGAAGGAGGAAGGAAGTTTTTTTCAGTTTTCAATGATCCGGCTGGAGAAGAAGTTGGCC